TTACAAATCAAATGAATAACTAGCAAACTAATTACTAATTATTATAACACTTAACTAATTAGCAAACTAGTTAATGTACACTAACTAATCATGCAAAGCACTAAACTACACTGCCACAGCTCTACTTCGGGAATTGGAAGATGCATTGCTCGGTTTTCACCCCGAAAAGTCCTCCGATTTGTTCTCGAGAGGCTCTGTTTGCAGGGTTGACCATAATCCAGAACCTTTCTGCTCCACCTTACAAAATCAATGCTGAGGATTGCACCAGTGGCATGCCGGCCATGAATGCTTGTTGCCGCCATCTGCCGGCCAAAAGTGTGCCCTACCGGCCAAGAATGAGGCACTGTCGGCCACCAATGAGCCACTGCCAACCACTGGTGCTCTGAGTCACCACACTACAACAGAGCACAAACAGAGGAAAATTGAGGGTTTTTCAAGGATATGTATGTGCTATGCCCCTCCTTATCATCTCGAAACATCAAAGGAGTGGCATTCTTGGATCTAAAACCATCAATCAAGCATCTTCGATGCATGATGGCCAAAGATCCAAGGAGTACAATTTCAATAAATGCACAAAACAAGACTCAATGCCATCACCATATCATATGTGATCAAAGGTAATGGAAACCAAAGAAGATTGACTCATTTCATCACTTTGAGTATGAAATGCTCCAATCTTCCTTGTGTTCAATATAACGTCCGATTGAACACATGCAATGCCAACACAACATGCTTATCTTGTTCAAGTTTTATTTGTCCAATTTTGTTTACACATTTTACATTACCAAACCATTCTTTAACCCGTTAAGTCCAAGGTGAGAGTCCTCTAATGGAAAGAGAGCTTAAGCCACATGTAACTTGAGCATGAAAGAGGCCTCATGCTGTTGGTAATGAACTCCCGAAGGAATTAAACCAATAGGCATGAGGGTCTCAATTCCACACTCAAGCCAACAAGAGGCTCAAAGCCACTTTCAAAACAAAAGGAAGAGTGAAGAATAAAGGGAGATTACAGAGATTTCAGTGCTGAAATGACATGCAAAAAGATACTACAACATGCAAGCAACTCATGCAAAACATGTTTAAAAGCCAAAAACACCAAACTAGTGAAGATCACAACACTATAAGCATGCAATACAAATCTCTAAAGGTACAAACACTCCAAAATAGTCCTAAAACAGTCTAAGAGGAGTCCTAAAACATACTTGAAGTAAGCTAAAAAAAGCTAGAATAGGAGGCCAACACATAGCACACAAACTAAACTATTAAGCACAATTGCACTACAAGCATACAAAGCAAACCTCAAGTGGCCAAACCAGCTCAAAACAGAGCTAAAGCTAGTCAAAAAAGTTTCAAAAACATGCTGAGCTTAAGGTACGAAATGCTAGAAAATCATACACACATGTTAGGCTATCTAGGCTTACAAACCAGACACAAGGAAGTGAGGCTACCCCCTCCTATTTTGAACCTCAAAACATAGTTTTTACCACTGAAAATCCCCTAGAATTCAGTGGTTAAAAGAACCAAAAAAATTTGTTTTAGAAAGCTTTGAAAGATGGCACAACAACTTAATAATCAAGCAACAAGAAGAGTGGACTACTCCTAACTCCAGTCAAAGCTCAAACCACCATTTTAGACCATAAAAACAGAGATTTCAAAGGTCAAAACCAGCCTCAAAATAGTATGCAAAGATGGTAAAACAAGTGTTTAAAATAAGCTTAAAACGTAAGTGTTCTACCTCTTGAAGACAAGATACACTTTAAGTACCAAAATCAAGCCAGACCAAGCCAATACCCTCTTCTAGAGCTCAAATAGGACCTCAAGCAATCTCAACTCGATGGTGATCAAGTTTGATCAAGGGCTTATATGCAAAAGTGTAGAGAATTCAAGCTATAAGGCACAAAATATGTAGAGAAAGGATTCTAGAGAGAGAGAGAGAGAGAGAGAGAGAGAGAGATTTTTTTTGTCTTCAAAATTTCCAACCCCCACATATGCAAGAGGGGGCCTCTGTATATAGAAGATACAAAATCCCCTCAAAGAGATCTAGCCATACACGTGCAAGCAGATGACGCAATCTGTGCAAACAGCCAGCAGAAAATATTAGAAAATAGCTACTGATACATTGGTGGCCGGCTGGCCATCAGTGATGGTCGGCTGGGGCTCATTGATGGCCGGCAGGGCACATCAATGGCCGGTAAGACAAAACCCATGGCCGGCAAAGCATAAAAAACAACATATTGAAAAGACCTAAACATGGTCAAAAAATGAGACAAGATGGATGCAGGGTTTGGAAAACTCAAACTTGTGGCGTTTCGCCGCGGACTTCGAGCGTCCGATGAACAACCAAACTCATCATCGAATGTACCTGCAAGAACATCCAAGTTTTGAGGACGGTCAAAAATGGGGTGTCTACAGTTGCCTCTTTCATTCTGGTCATTCTTCGTATTACATATTTTCGTCCAGAGCTATCCGGTGGTAATGAATCACATGAAATAGATCTCGAAGATAACCCCACAACATTGACACATGGAACACATTGTGCATTTGCTCAAATCCTGGTGGCAAGGCAACTCTGTAAGCAACTAGACCAAGTCTTTCCAGAATTTGAAACGGTCCAATGTAACGGGGTGATAATTTACCTTTCTTACCAAATCTCAGTTGGCCTTTCATCGGAATCACATGAACAAATACATGGTCGCTAACCTCATACTCAAGAGGTCTTCTTCAAACATCTGCATAATTCTTCTGTCAGCTTTGTGCTGTCTTGGGCCTTTGTTGGATGATTTAATCTTCTCGGAACTGTCTTGCACAATTTTGAGCCCAAGTAAAGCCCTATCTCCGACCTCTGTCCAACAAATTGGTGATCTACACTTCCTGCCATACAAAACTTTGTATGGTGCCATACCAATGCTGGAGTGGAAGTTGTTGTTGTATGTAAATTTTGCTAGTGGCAAATAATTTTCCCAACTTCCCTGAAAATCTAGGGCACACATTCTAAGCATGTCTTCCAAAGTCTGTATGGTCCATTCTAATTGTCCGTCTATTTGTGGCTGGAACGTCGTACTGAATTTCAGCTATCTTCCCATTGCTCTCTGCAGGCTTTTTCACAATCTAGATACAAATTTTGGATCTCTATCCGATACAATAGATACCGAAACTCCGTGTAAATGAACAATCTCATCAACGTATATAGTAGCTAATCGATAAGCATCAAATGTAGTTCTAATAGATAGAAAATGTGCAGATGTAGTCAGTCTATCAACTACAACCCAAATAGAATCCATACCACTAAGAGTTCAAGGTAGGCCAACAACAAAATCCACGGTCACATGCTCCCACTTCCATTCCAGAATAGGGAGATGTTGAAGTAGACCGCCTGGTTTCTGATGTTTAGCTTTAACTTGCTGACATTAAAGGCACTTGGACAGTTCTTTGCGATTTCCTTCTTCATTTTGGGCCACCAATAGCTTTGCTTTAAGTCTCAATACATTTTGTTGTTACCCAGATGTATAGCAAACATAGACTTGTAAGCTTCGTCTAGGATCCTCTTTTTCAATTCAGGAATGTTTGGGACACATATTCTACTTTAAAACCTCAATACTTCACCATCAATATTGAATTTCGGTTTTGGTTTAGCTTCAAACTCATCGATTATTGTCTTAAGAGCCTCGTCCTCCCTTTGTCTTTGCTTGACTTTAGTAATTATTGCTGGCTCAATAGAAACGGTAGCTATTAACCTAGCTTGTTCATGTAGCACGACTTCAATCTCGGCTTTCTCAAAATCTTGCAAAATTTCTTTTTGTTCAGTGAGTAGACAAGCTAAGTTCCCCATTGATTTTCAATCTCGGCAATGGTATTGGCTTTTCCAGGGTGATATTGAATCAGAAGATCATAATCCTTTATTAGTTCAAGCCATCTCCTTTGTTGCATATTCAGCTCCTTTTGAGTAAAGAAGTATTTAGGATTTTGTGATCCGTGTAAACTTCACATTTCGCCCCATACAGGTAGTGCTGCCAAATTTTCAAAGTAAACACCACTGGGACTAGTTCCAAGTCATGTGTTGCGTAGTTCTTTTCATGCAGTCTCAATTGACGAGAGGTATAGGCGATCACCCTTCCATTTTGCATTAGTACATAACCCAAACCTTTATAAGAAACATCACTATACATCACAAAGTTTTCCATATCTGAGGGCAATGTCAAAATTGGTGCAGTGGTTAGTCTTGTCTTCAATTCCTGAAAGGTAGACTCTTTTTCATCAGTCCACTCAAATAGTTGTCCTTTGCGTGTGAGTTGGGTAAGTGGAACAGCTATTTTCGAAAAATCCTTTACAAACCATCTGTAATACCCAGCCAGGCCCATGAAACTGCGAACTTCTGTTACATTCATTGAAGTAGGCCACTTCACAATTGCCTCTATCTTCTGTGGATCTACTGAAATCCCCTCTTTGTTGATGACATTCCCTAAGAAAATAACTTCATCCAACCAAAATTCACATTTCTTTAGTTTGGCAAATAATTTATTTTCTCTAAGTGTTTACAAGACAACTCTCAAGTGGTATTCATGTTCAAGTCTACTCTTTGAATATATCAAGATATCATCAATAAAAACCACAACAAAATCATCAAGGTAAGTCTTAAAAATTCGGTTCATTAGGTCCATAAATGTTACAGGAGTATTAGTCACCCCAAATGGCACAACAAGAAATTCATAATGGTCATACCTTGTCCGAAACACAGTTTTCTCAACATCCTCTGCTTTTACCTTCAACTGGTGGTACCCAGATCTTAAATTAATTTTGGAAAACACTTGTGATCCCTGCAACTGGTCAAACAAGTCATCAATACGAGGTAAGGGATATTTATTCTTTATTGTCACATTGTTCAGTTCTCGATAGTCAATACACAGGCGTAAGGTTTCATCTATCTTTTTCACAAATAACACCGATGCACCCCACAGTGAAGTGCTCGGTCAAATAAACCCTCTGTCCAATAGGTCTTGCAACTATTCTTTCAATTCTTTCATCTTAATAGTGGCCATTCTGTAAGGGGTTTCTGAGATAGGCTGTGTTCTTAGCACAACACCAATAGTAAACTCTATCTCCCTATCAACCAATTCTCCTAGCAATTCATCTGAGAATACATCTGGAAATTCGCTTACAATAGCGATATTGTCCAATTCAACATTCACAGATTATTCAGACATTACATAACATAGATAACATTGACACCCCTTCCTAATCAATTTACATGCTTTCATTGCGGATATCAAATACGATGGAGGTACTACCCCGTTACCCACAAACACAATTTCTTCCTGTCCTGGTGGTCCAAATATAACTTGTTTCATTACACAATCGATGATGTCATAGTATTTAGATAACTAGTTCATGCCTAGAATTACATCAAAATGTCTAAAGTCCGGAGGTAACAGATCCACATACAAAGTAGCATTCCCGACACGCATATCACAAAATCGACACATAGATGTACACAACACAAATTCCCCGGATGGAACAGATACACATAACAAATATGGCAATGATTCTAAAGGTCTACTCAATCTAGATGCAAATGCATATGTTACAAAGGATTGCGTTGATCCAGAGTCAATTAACACAAACGCATCCTGATTACATATAGAGATAGTACCTGAAACGACAGCTTCTGCGTTCCGTGTATCGCCCGAAACAAGTGCAAAGACTCTTCCCTGTCTCATGATGTCTCTTGTTGTAGCAACCTTCATGGTATTTCCTGGTTTTGAGACCGATTCAGTTGAACTAGCAGCCATTTTTCCACTGACTTGGTTGCAATCCCTTGCCATATGCCCCACTTTTCCACACTTAAAACAGGCCCCCGAAAGACAGTAAGAAACCCCATGGTGTCTTTTACCACATTGGCTACACATCGAGAATGTATCTCGAGAAGAATTTGAAGTACTCGAGGATCTCGTATTCTGCCTCTTTGAAAGTCTTTTCTTCGAAAAGAAGCCTTGCCTCTTACTTTTCCAATCAGTTGATGGTTTGTTCTGTCTGGCTATATTAGCTTCTGATATTATAGCCCGGTCTAACACATTAATATAGGTTTCCAATTTTAACACATTCACCTTGTCAAGAATATCATCTCGAAGGCCTCCTTCAAAGTGTCTAGCTTTCTTATAGTCGGCGTCGACCATGTGTGGTGCAAATCTGGCTAATTCAGTGAAAGCCTCATACTCAGCTACTGTCATGCTATTTTGTTTTAGTTCCATGAACTCCGACACTTTCCTGTTGCGAACACATTATGGAAAGTACTTATCGTAGAAAATTTCTAAGAACCGCGCCCAGCCAAGATCTTTATTGTTTTCACATATCAACATCCACCACATTCTTGCTTCATCTTCTAACATAAAGGTGGCCAGCAATACTTTCTGTGTTTCTTGACAAGGAAATACCTCAAACAATTTTTCTATCCCAAGGACCCATACCTCTGCTTTCAGCAGATCCAATCCTTCATGAAACTGTGGCGGTTTCATTTTCTTGAACTCTTTGGTGAGAGTTATTGTCCGGTTATCATTCTGTAGGTCTTGCACAGGCAGTTCCAGAGGTGGAGGCAGAGGGTGTGGCTGTTGCCATTGTTGTTGCCACTGTTGTTGTTGTCTCAATGTTTCTGCCATTTCCTGAATCAATCTTTCCATCATATCCATTCTGGCAGTAGATAACTCCTCTAATTCATCACCTCTTGTTCTCACCATTATCTAATTAAACTTACATTATTCTTTATACAAAAATATTCACAAGTACGCATATACAAAAGAGCATACATATTCAAATAATTCACAATGCAAGTATTACAAAACATATAGCACATAGTCATTCATTTCGAAACATTTAAGCATATTCTCGATGTCTTCAAGTTCATACTTATCACATGAATGTATCCTAGATCTTTTCTGGATGCTTATTGCTCATTAGGACAAGTGTGTGAGTTATTAACTCGTGATCTGATACCACTCTTTCATGACCCGATCCCACCCCCAAGGATTAAGGCCATAACCGGCCAATAATCATGAGATTATCTACGGCCTCAAACAATTTCAGAAATATTAAAGGGGCCAAAATGGAAGCAAATTTAAAAACTTTGTCTAATGAGTTGTGCTTACATGGTATAGCAAAATCATTCCAAAGGTATTTCATAATAACTCACATATATAAATAGAGTTAACATCTTATACACATCCAGGAACTTTCAGTTATGCAGTCAGCCAAACAAAAACTCATATACATAGGTGATCCAACGTGTTCACCAAAATAGGAAAAGAGTAAGAAAAGAACAAAAAGGACAAAAACAAAGTCTCGTGCGTGAGACATTTGGGCTGACTCCTAAAAAACTTGAATTCCTCTCATGGTCTTCACCGAGGCTGGGTTTGGACGTCTCTTTGCTCACCTACATACACATGAATGAGAATAAGCGAAAGCTCGGTGAATAATATCAAATAAGAAAGTTACATGAATGAAAATTTGTTAACAAACATATCAAACGACCGTAGGCCCATTCATGTTTCTATCTAATACATCAAACGGCCTTAGGCCCAAACGTATCAAACGGCCTTGGGCTCAATTCATTCTTACCAAACGGCCTTAAGCCCAATTTGTTCATGTCAAACGGCCTTTGGCCCAATCATTCATGTCAAACGGCCCTTGGCCCAATTATTCATGTCAAACGGCCTTTGGCCCAATCATTCATGTCAAACGGCCCTTGGCCCAATTATTCATGTCAAACGGCCTTTGGCCCAATCATTCATGTCAAACGGCCCTTGGCCCAATTATTCATGTCAAACGGCCTTTGGCCCAATCATTCATGTCAAACGGCCCTTGGCCCAATTATTCATGTCAAACGGCCTTTGGCCCAATCATTCATGTCAAACGGCCCTTGGCCCAATTATTCATGTCAAACGGCCTTTGGCCCAATCATTCATGTCAAACGGCCCTTGGCCCAATTATTCATGTCAAACGGCCTTTGGCCCAATCATTCATGTCAAACGGCCCTTGGCCCAATTATTCATGTCAAACGGCCTTTGGCCCAATCATTCATGTCAAACGGCCCTTGGCCCAATTATTCATGTCAAACGGCCTTTGGCCCAATCATTCATGTCAAACGGCCCTTGGCCCAATTATTCATGTCAAACGGCCTTTGGCCCAATCATTCATGTCAAACGGCCCTTGGCCCAATTATTCATGTCAAACGGCCTTTGGCCCAATCATTCATGTCAAACGGCCCTTGGCCCAATTATTCATGTCAAACGGCCTTTGGCCCAATCATTCATGTCAAACGGCCCTTGGCCCAATTATTCATGTCAACAAACATATCAAACGACCGTAGGCCCATTCATGTTTCTATCTAATACATCAAACGGCCTTAGGCCCAAACGTATCAAACGGCCTTGGGCCCAATTCATTCTTACCAAACGGCCTTAAGCCCAATTTGTTCATGTCAAATGGCCTTTGGCCCAATCATTCATGTCAAAGGCCTTTTTCCCAATCATTTCTATCAAACGGCCTTTGGCCCAATCATTCATGTCAAACGACCCTTGGCCCAATAATTCATGTCGAACAGCCTTTGGCCCAATCATTTCTAGCAAATGGCCTTTAGCCCAATCATTCATGTCAAATGGCCTTTGGCCCAATTATTCATTTCAAATGGCCTTTGGCTCAATTATTCATATCAAACGACCTTTGGCCCAATCATTCATTCAAACGGCCTTTGGCCCAATCATTTGTATAACGAATATCCAATTCAATTTAATAACTCTGCAGAACTCATACATAAGTGAGCATTTGGAAGTAGCATATTTCAATACATTCTTATTAAGATATCACTCACGGTGTTCTGCCGATGGATTTGCCCTTGCGCTTGACCCTAGCGGCTCCAATCCTCACAAATGTAGTTAAATCTTGTACCAATTCCCTTAGTCTTTCAATTTCTTAGCAAAGTCTTCAATTTTGGCCTCTTTCTCTCTCTAAACCGTGCACTCTCTCTCTCTTTAGTGTATTCTCAACCAAAATGAGTTCAAAGGAAGGAACGTGAGTGTATATAAGCCTATTTATAAGCTTGCCTAACCCAATTGATTAAGGCTAAGTAATGGTGCTCTAATTCAATCATATTGAATCTAATTATTTTGATCCAAATTAATTTTTAATTAAATTTCACTGTAGGTTCTAAAAATCATGCTAAGCATAAAAATACAGTCAATTTCACTTTCTAACGCCTCTACGGCCTTCAATTTAAATTCTATAGTAGAAAATCAAACAGATTTTCCTATGGTGAATAGATAGGAATTCAAACACACACATAATCATATAAGTAGCACTCAAAATCACATTAAGCACATAACCACAATCTTAATTAAGATTAATTAACATAACATGGGACAAGGTTATCACACTTGATTCGCTCTAAGTATCTATAGTTGCAAGATGAAAAAAGAAATATCCTGAAATTCAATATATTCATCTTGGATTAATACAGGTAACCATAACAGTGTTATTCCGCCAAGGGATAGATACTCCTATTTTGTCAGTAATTTTTCATAAAAGATTTTCCGACCCAATGAAAGCAATCATTGGAGGAATTCAATCTAATTTGGCTAATAGAGTAGTTTGGTTTAATGTTAGACCAAATTTCTTTATTTCCATAAATGATCCTAATCTTGAAGACACAGTCAGAATAAGAATTAAAACACAAGGATTAGGAATGAAATCGAATTCCCATAATTTGGCTATTCATTGGGAAACAATTCACGAATTGACCAAATTTCCTGAAACAAAGACAAGATCAAACGATAATAAAATCGTTGAAATCTTTGAAACAAGACTAGATAAAATTTTGAAAGAAAATTGAAAAATTGGTTGTAATACATTTCCTAAGCGAAAAGGATTTTCCAAAAAACACAGAAAATATAAATGGAAATCTTGAAAAAAGAACAAAACTTTTTTAAAAAGAAAAAGTATATTCGAAAAAAGAAACCAACAAGTGTTTCAAAAAAGAAAACTT